AGAATGAAAAATGATAACTAACACAGCAGTACGTCGTCTATAAAAGCTATGGATTATGACTTACTCCACCGGCCGAACAGACACAGCTTTCTGAACCCTGTCCCGAATGCTAAGAATGTACACACTGCACTTGTCTTCATATCAATGTCTGGTTATAGCACACGATAGCGATATCAGCGGTTCTTACCATTTGTTTAAACAAAAAATAAGAGTTTACTAAGTAGTCGTTTTAAGCTACATGAAAACTTTTCTCTCTTTTCTTTCCAAAAAAAAAAACAAAAACAAAAAAAAAAACAACTTAAAACTGAGAAGCTCTTTTTACTGGTAAATAAAATCTATGTATAAAACACTCAATGGAAAATGAATGTTACAGAATTTTTGGATATATAAACCGAGTAGCATCTGCCCTATCGCTAGGCAATGACAGAGCTACAAGATAAGCGCGTTAAGAATCCCATGTTAGTTCCAACATTATTTATAAAAACATGTTTGTTTTTTTTTCTTCGAGTGATCATTAAATTAAAATGTTTGGTAAAACTATGACATTTTCATTGCCGGCGTCAGTAAGTATTCATCTACCACTTACCTTTTTACCCTTTGCACATTAACAAAATTTTAATAATATTAATCTTTAAAAAAAATAAAATAAGTACACTTCAAGGTGCTTCAAAACATGCACTGCATCTTTGTGTGTAAAAGGCTAGTTGATGAAGACATTAGCTGAGATGTCTTATGTTTTACTTGTCTAAGTAAATAATTAAATAAAGCACAAACATCTTGTTTGACTTAAACTTAAATGAGTCGTGTGTATCTTTAATCCGACGGCTAATAGGATGTCATTAATCTAAACATGGCTGAATAGGATGTATTTATTCCAAACATGGCTAAATAGGATGTCATTATTCCAAACATGGCTAAATAGGATGTCATCATTCCAAACATGGCTAAATAGGATGTTATTATTCAAAACACGGCTGAATAGGATGTCATTATTCTAAACACGGCCCAATAGGATGTCATTAATCCAAACATGGCTAAATAGGATGACATTATTCCAAACACGGCTGAATAGGATGTCATTATTCCAAACATGGCTAAATAGAATGTCATTATTCCAAACACGGCTAAATAGGATGTCATTATTCAAAACACGGCTAAATAGGATGTCATTATTCCAAACACGGCTAAATAGGATGTCATTATTCAAAACACGGCTAAATAGGATGTCATTATTCCAAACACGGCTAAATAGGATGTCATTATTCAAAACACGGCTAAATAGGATGTCATTATTCAAAACACGGCTAAATAGGATGTCATTATTCCAAACATGGCTAAATAGGATGTCATTATTCCAAACACGGCTAAATAGGATGTCATTATTCCAAACACGGCTAAATAGGATGTCATTATTCCAAACATGGCTAAATAGGATGTCATTATTCCAAACATGGCTAAATAGAATGTCATTATTCCAAACATGGCTAAATAGGATATTATTATTCAAAACACGGCTAAATAGGATGTCATTATTCCAAACACGGCTAAATAGAATGTCATTATTCCAAACACGGCTAAATAGGATGTCATTATTCCAAACACG